TGAGGCCTCGGGCTGCCAAGCGTCAGAGGTTTGATCACATGACCATGGGAACGCTGTAACAACCATAACTTCAAGAACTGGCTGTAACTATCATTCATTCAGCACCATTATAACTTCAAATGATCACTGAACAAATGGTCGTTAGGTGAGGACTACCTGTATTCAAATATAGAAAGAGACCACTCTATAAGTGGTAGAGAATAGGTATCCTTCCAATAATGTGATATCTTTTTTTCACAATCATAAAAACATTATTGTTGGCCTTCTGTTAATTTCCTTACTATTTGACATATAAATCAAAGAACATAAATATCTTTAAAAACCAATGACTCTTCCAGACCAAAATCAATATATAAAATAATTTCCATTAGGAAGGTAACAACCCACATTATTTAAACCAACATTGTATTTTCAGGGCCATTAAATGAATCCATCAAAGTGTTCCTGAAAATATGCAGAAGTGTCCCTTGCATAGCAAATACTATTATTCTTAAATTAATCATAATTTAGTGTGTAATGTGACATACAGATGCCAAAATGTTGTTCAACTGATTTTTGTTTATTTTACACTATAGTATTTTGTTTAATACTATATACATAAAATGGTCCTATATTGATTTAGCACTTACTAACTCCATAGTTCCTTACTCCATAGTTTCCTGTAATTTTGAACATTTGATATATCATAGCTCAGTGTCAGGCCCACACTGCCTGAGGGACAACTGGGTGCTACTGTGGGTAGAAAGAGATGAACCTTTTTTGGGTGTGATAAGACTGAATAAGATTAGTGATTGATCAATTATTGGCCCCCATTCCACAAGCCAGCCTCCTCATTGCACAGATGAAATTTATAGATGATATTAATGACCTTGACCAGCAAAAGCTTAAGTCAACATGTTCTGGAGACTCTGGAAAACAATAACAATAACATATTGGAAAGTTTGGTGTAGTGGTGAAGGTGCTGGCCTAGAAACCAGGAGTCTGTGAGTTCTAGGCTCCCTTCAGCATGAAAGCCAGCTGGGTGACTTTGGGCTAGTCATCCCATCCCACCTCACAGGGTTGTTGTTGTGGGGAAAATAGGCAGGAGTATTAGGTATGTTTGCCACCTTGAGTTATATACAGTGGAACCTCGGTTTACGAACTTAATTTGTTCCGTGACTTTGGTCGCGACCCGAATTGGTCACGACCCGAAGCAAATTTTCCCATAAGGTTCAATGTAATTGCCGTTAGCCCGTTCTGGTGTGGAGGACAGGGAGGCGGCTATTGCTTGGAGGGAGAGTCCCCCTCCCTACGGCCACGTGGCAGGAGTGGGAAATTGTCGTGGATCACGTGTCAGGGGCGGAAAAATGGCCGCGGATCACGTGTCAGGGGCGGAAAATGACCACGGACCACGTGTCGGGCGGAAAAATGGCCGCGGACCACGTGTCGGGCGGAAAAATGACCATGGACCACATGTCAGGGGCAGAAAATGGCCGTGGACCACGTGTCACGGGCGGGAAAATGGCCGCGGACCGGGTCACGGGAGGGAAAATGGCCGTGGATCCTGTTCGTAACCCAAGGCGGAGTTCGTGAACCGAAGCAAAATTTTGCGGCCGGAGCTGATCATCACCCGAAAAGTTCGTGAACAGAAGCGTTCGTAACCTGAGGTTCCACTGTATATATAAAAAGGCAAGAAAATAATAATAACAACAACATCTGCCTATCCCAGGTCCTTGGGAAGGACTCAATAGGTGGATAAAAATGCC